TATGGCTGAAGGGGGCACTGAGGGACCCAGGGAGAGTGTTCTCCTGTGACCTTCAGGATTGTGCCTATCAGAAACAAGAGCTGAAGGATGACCCCCAGGCCATGGAGTGCCTGGTGCCCCCTCCAGATGGTACCCACACTGGTCAAGAGAGGCAAGGTACCCACTCCCTCTCGGCCTTTGGAGAATCAGGCAAATCTGATTCGAATCTAAATGTGCACATCTGGCTTTGTTGGAAACACAGCTGCCCACTTGCATGGAGGGTGGGGCTGCTCCTCTATTTTTTTTTCTGTCAAGGAGGCCTGCTTTGGGAAATATGATGGAGGCTGCTGTGCCTGACTCTCTCCTACCTGCCAGGTCAGCTGAAGAGGCTGAGAGGACAGACAGGTGGACAGATAGGGACTCTGCTTGTCACTCCACGACAGCTCACACTTGCCCAGTGCTCACCTTAGGTCAGACACCTGGGAAAACTCAGGAAAGTTTCACAAGAGGTAATTTGTTTACAGAAGCCAGAGACATTCTGGGAAGAAAGGAATCAAGACCTCAACTCTTGCAACTCTTTGGATGGGCCAGGGGCTGAGAGACAGGCATAAGAGCAGGGGAGAGAGATGAGGGAGTCCAGTCTCATGCTGAACTGGACCTTATAGCTCTTGACCTTGCTGTTGTTATCCTTCTTAGTGCTTTTAGCTGCAGTTAACCGACATAGGCCTGCAAGTGTTCTGCCTGCAAAACACCATGCTAAGTCCTTTGTGCAGGTTCTTTCACTTAATTCTCCAAATTTCTAGCAGAAAACTGAGGCTGGGAGCAGCTAAGTTTCCTGCCTCACATCACTCAGCAGTTATATGGCACCAACAGGCATGTGGACCCCTAAAGCTCAGCCCACAACATCCTCAACCTTGAGGGCCTACCTCCCCAACCACATTACATTTTCACCTTCTTCTTGCCTAGACTCTCATCTGTTTTCTTTCTGAATCGATTCCGTGTGAAAGCATGACTCATTTAGGAGTCGCTCATTTTACTGTGACCACGAGCCAAGGATCCACAGGCCGAGGCAGTATGGCATGAAGGTTAGGTGTGCAGACCTGGCCTCAGACTGCCAGGTCTGTGTGATTCCATGACCCTGAGCATCTCTTTCATCATCTGTTTTTTTTTTTTTTTTTTTTTTTGACAGTGCTGGGGATGGAACCCAGGGCCTCATGCATGCTAGCCAACTTGTCAAGTTGTCTACCCCTGAGCTACAAACCCAGTCCAGTGGCTGCCTATTTTCTTAATCCTTTTAACCTAAACTGTTGGGGTAGGCTGTTTTGTTATCTTATTTTACAAAATAGGAATTTGATGCTCAGAGAGGTTAAGGGAACTATCAGAGTCATATAGTCTGAAAAATTCAAGAAGAGATATGAACATTGAGAGTCTACCTCCTGCCCATACCTTTCAACAACGTTGAAGCTCAGATCAAGATCCCGTTCATTAGAGCCAGCGGATCACCATGGTGGGATGAGGAGCAAGGACGGAGAAACTTGGTGTCTCCTCCCACTGGCCTCTGGGGGACCTGTCAATTCTTGCCCAGAAAGAAAAACAAGCTACCCCCTAAAGAAGACACGGAGGTTAAACCGTCCTGACAAAAGACCCAGTTTGCCCAGGGAGTTTCGTCTTCCCAGGTAATGGAATTGTTTTTAGTGGCAAGAATGAGCTCATTACAGATGCAGCTTGTGCTAATAATGATAATTTGCTGAGCATTAAAATCACTTCTCTGCATCTCCCCCAGTCGACAGTCGATGCTCTAGAAATTATAGGCTAGGGAGAAACAGAAAGGAGAAAGTCTAAGGGAAAGAATTGCGATGGGGAGCTGCTTCAACAAAAGGGCTCACAGTTCTGCACACTGAACTTGGTGATCTGAATCGCCAACTTGTGGAAAGGAGACGTGCAGAATTTTTGAATTGCCTTTATTCACTTTTGTTACTTCTGTTACTGGGTCGTTCGGGGTTCTGTTTCGGTTTTACAGCTAAAGCCATTTTTTTAAAAGTTGTGCCAAATGAATTCGTCACTTAAATATTGGTATGTAATACGATCCATGGATGAGAACACTTGGGACAGTTTAAGAGCCACATCAGTCCTGCCACCTCCTTACTTTCCTTGAAAATACTGCAACAGACTTAAGCCCCAAGTGGCCATCTGCAAACTGGGTTTGGGAAAAGGGGACAGACAGACTCGCCTCCCTTGTGGCTCATTTCTGAGGTGGGCAGAGATGCAGCCTGCATAGGAAGGGATCTGTCTCCTGGTATCCTCTCTGGGGCTTTGAGGTCCCTCCTTCAGGGTTTAGGAAAACTGGGAAAAATCTCAACTATTCACATAGATTTGCCCTGCCCTTTGAAGAAAGTGCTAGCTGTCTTCTACTGAAATGTGATTTTTAAAATTTAATTTCCAAAGTATTTAAGTATCTTTTTCAACAGTTCAAAGAAGGATTTTAAAGATGATATTATTTCTTAGTTATGAATGCAATATCTGGAGGCTGTGGAAAATCAGAGAAAACACAAAGAAGAAAATAAAAGCAATCAGTAGCACCATCTACTAAATGACCATTGTGAATATTATGGGTTAGCCCCCCACCTTTATTAAATAAAAGACATGGTGTGTGTGTGTGTGTGTGTGTGTGTGTGACATAGGTTCACAGCTACTGCACATCTTAGGACCTTCCTTTTTCAAGAGCTGTATCGTATATTTCCACAACAGTATTTTCCCTTCACATCATCTTTGACATAGTAGCTCCTACTGCATCCCAAGCCCACAGGGATGGGGGTGGTGGTTATGTTTTGTGAGACCATTACTATTTACAACACCCTTAGGCACTTCTTTGTTCAAGACTGTTCAGTTCTGAGACCCTGTGGCCATCTGATGAACACTGTGGACTTGAAATATGTAAGATTACAAAGGAAATATCACCAAAATATTCAAGAGAGCAAATCTGGGTGAAATAGCCACGTCTTTTTTTAAATTTTTAATTTGTTTTAATTCGTTATAATTGACATTAGAATGCATTTATGCACTTTGACATATCATACATAGATGGGATATAATTCCTCATTTTTCTGTGTGTACATGTTGCAGAATCACATATGTTATATATATATACATAAAGTAATAATTGTCTGTTTCATTCTACTATCCTTATCTCCACATCCCCTCCCCTCCCCTCCTTTCACTTCCCTCTACCTAAAGTAAGGTAACCCTATTCTTCTCAGTGCCCTCCTATTGTGAATTACCATCCGCATATTAGAGAAACCATTCGGCCTCTTTTTTTTGGGGGGGGGGCTTATTTCACTTAACATATTCTCAAACTCCATCCATTTACCAGCAAATGCCTTAATTTCATTCTTCTTTAAAGTTGAGTAATATTCCACTGAATATATACACCACATTTTCTTTATCCATTCATCTATTGAAGGACACCGAGGTTGGTTCCATAGTTTAGCTATTGCGAATTGAGCTGTTATAAACATTGATGTGGCGGAGCCACTGTAGTATGCTGATTTTAAGTCCTTTGGGTATAAACTGCTGAGTGGGATAGCTGGGTCAAATGGTGCTTCCACTCCAAGTTTTCTGAGAAATCTCCATACTGCTTTCCCTAATGGTTGTACCAATTTGCAGTCCCATCAGCAATGTATGAATGTACGTTTTCCCCCACATCTTCACCAACATTTATTGTTGCCTGCATTCTTGATGATTGCCATTCTGACTGGAGTGAGATGAAATCAGTGTGGTTTAGATTTTCTTCACTGCATGTTAACATGAGAGTAGATTCTGAGGCTCTAGTAACTAATCGTGGAGTGAGGGGAGCATTAGCATGATTTCTAGCTGTTTGCCACACCTTCGTAGGGTACCAAAGGTCCACGGGATTTCTATGGTGAGTACCTGGCTGTGGTGTGCCCTTTACCTTCACAAATGAATGAGGTCTGTAAAACGAAGATAGGACTTTTTCTTATCAAGATTTTTCCATCCTCTGGACCTCTGTCCATGGAGCCTCGGAGCCCAGGGAGCCCTGGCAAAAACTCTCGCCTTGGGAAGCAGTTCCAGGAGCAGCTTGCTGCATCTCCAGCTCTGAGCATTTTTTAAATATTTATTTTAAGATGTCAATGACCTTTATTTATTTATTTGTATGCAGTGCTGAGAATCAAACCCAGTGCCCTTACACATGCTAGGCGAGTGCACCACCACGGAGCACAACCCCAGCCCCATTTTTTAGCTCTTTGATGCTGACGGCCTCCTTAGACCCCCAGCTGCTTTAGATTTCAGGGAACTGAAGGCTGCCAAGTGGAGTCAGGGAGAGACCTGTCAGTGACAGGCAGCAGTGACCAGTGCTAGGGGTTGAACTGTGTCCCTCAAAAGAAGAAAGTCTTGGTCCCAGTACCTGGGAATGTGACCGGTTTGCAAATAAGGTCATTGCAGGTGAAATTAGTTTAGGTGAAGACAGACTGGAGAAGGGGCCTCCTAATCCAATGTGACCTTCTAAGAAGTGGCCACATGACAACACAGACACACCCAGAGAGAACACCCTGTGCTGCGGGGAGGGCTGAGATGGGAGTCACATGGCCTGAGCTGCCACAACCCCCCAGGAAGAGGCAAGGACTTCCCTTCCGGTGTCCGAGGGAGAGGGGGCCCTGCTAACAGCCTGGATTTGGAAATTCCGGCCTCCACAACTGTGAGGCAATAAAGCCACCAGTTGGCCGTACTTTTCTTAGAACAGTCCTGGAAAACTGATGTAGCTGTATCTGCCAGTCGGGGCCTCAAAGGGACTAGGAGTCTAAGAAAGCAGGGTTGGCTGCAGGCCAGAGTTGGGGACATACCACACCAGGACCCAGCATGGCTGAGGCGGCAACAGTGCTGGACTGAGGCTTCAAAGTAGAGCCTGGCCCAGCTACACGAGGTTCCCTTAGGATTTAGGAAAAGAAGGCCCCACCCTGGCCTTTCTCAAGGTCAAGGCAACCTGAGAAAAACCCACAAAGACGTTTAGCACACTGAGCAGTCTCCTCTTTATTCCCACACAACAACAAGATTCGTGATTGCTGACAGCCACGCTGCAGCTCAGGGTGCAGGCCCGGGGGAACTGTGCTCTTACACTTTCCCATTGCCCACTAGGTGTGGATGAGGCACCGGCCCGTGCAACACTGGCAGGCTTCTGCCACTCCCCTGGGCTCCACCTGTCCCTGGAGGTCTAAGCCACATGCTTCTAGACCTCTGCATTCTTTGGTGAGGGCCGTGGCCCTAGATAAATCTTCGTATTGCATGGAGTACTTAGCCTCTGAGGCGAGTCACATGTCACCGGAGCTCTGGGGTCTTGGCCCCAGGGTTTTCCAAAGGTAGGGCAGCTTCCACCTGGAAGAGAAACCCTCCACAGGAGCGGCAGGCAGGCAGCCAGCTCCGCAGACGAACACACCAGTGCCTTCTAGAACACGGTAGGAAGGAAGGAAAGCACCCTCACTCACCTGCGAGGGAGAAGTCTGGGTTTGGGGGTGTCAGCTCTTCGTGCTGCAAAACTTTTGGAGAAGGAGCATCGGTTTGTGTGAGGCTAATTCCACACAGTCTAAAGTAAGAACAAAAGTCACAGAGTTACTCCTTTTAACAATAAAAATAAGAATAACACACACAGGTCCTGGGGGGGGTCGTGTGTTCATGTCTAATCCTTACAATTTATCCTAACGGTTAGGATTGTTGTCCCCTTTCCAAAAGAGAAAACTGAGGCCACAAGGAGCCACCATATGCAGTGCCCATGGCGTCACCTGCCATCTCCCCCCCTCCATCGGCACCTGGAGTCTCTTAGGTCACTGCTGGACAGATGGCCGATGGGGAGAGCTGAGCTCAGACGGGAGCTGAGCCCTACAGACCAACGAGACAACTCCTATACACCCACCCAGACCCACGGCGGTCCTAGTGCAGGGGGGCTCTCGTCTCTGGGTCTTGCAGCCAGTGGTTTGACCCCCCCACACATACTTACTCCTCGTATGGTTTCAGACGTGCTCTCTTGGCCCGCTCCACAATGTCCTTGAAGTCCTTGTAGCAGTTTCTGGCCATGACAGTGTACCTCGTGGCACAACCTAGTTCAGTGACCTTGGCTCTGGGGAGGTAGCCTGCCCAGCCAGGGATCGGGGGCTCATGGAGAGGTTTCTTCATGTTCTTGCATTCTGTAGAGAGACAGATTTCTTCCTGAAGGCTCGGGGGAGTTCTGCAGAGGGCAGTGTTCTCAAGCCAGCTGGCACCCCAACAGTTAGCCCAGGGGAGCTCTTAGGCCAGGTATTGTGGGAGGGGCTTTACAAATAGTATCTCATTTAATTCTCTCCCAAACCATCCAGGTTAGCACCACTGTTACCTCCAGCATAGGAAGGAGGAGACGGAGGCCTGCAAGGAGGTTCAGAGAGACCTGGCCTGAATCACATAGCCAGGAGGCGTAGGGCAGGACTCAAAGCTGGCTCTATGTTCAAAGTCCTGGCTCTGAGACAGATCCTGCTTCCTTCTCAGATTGATGGGGAAGCTTCAGGCTTTAAATAAGGCAGGGAATCGACAGCAGGCCAGCTTAGGAGGCTGCTTTCAGACTTTACCAAGAACCTGCTTCAGGTCCTGACTGTGATCCTAGCTTGCTGGGTGACCTTGGGTAAGTTTTACCATCCCCATAGCCTCCAATGAGGCCACTGAATTGGAGGACATCCCAGGGAGCATCTAGTCAATCCTTTCTTGTTTTAGAAGAAAATATTGAAGCCCAGAGAAGGGAAATAATTTGTCTCGGGCCACACAGCAAGTAGCCACAGAGGTGGGCTAAATCCCAAACTTAGGCAGAGATTCTTGGTAAGGTTTGGAAGATTTTTAAAGCGCAGCAAACATGTAAATTATCATTTGTTCATTTGTTCTTGAAAAAATTTTGAACAATTATAGTAAAAAGAATAAAAGCAATCAGTTTCTGGCTTTTACTATAGGCTTTTAGGCCTTAAAATAATCTAGGTCAAATTGTCGCTGCAATTCCTGTCGTATAATCCCATCACGGTGGTCTCCATTGTTGATATTGGGTAAGAAACCCCTTCCTCCTGAACTGGCACCCGGAGGAGGAGGAATCAGACCCAAGGTTGACCTCAGCACCCCTGCTATGACCTCAGCCGGTGACCCCAGCTCTGGAAGCCTCCCTCCTCCTGTCTCTTAGATGGGAATGACAGTCGTGACCTCACAAAGTCCTGTGGTTGGGGACAACTGTTCCCAGGACAGAGAAACAACCAGAAGCTCCAAGTGTGTTGTGACTGGCCCAGGGCCTCTTAGTGCTCAGGCCAGCACCCTCTGGCCTGACCAGGACTGTGTCCCTCTCCCAGGAAGTGTCTCCCTTGTGTGAAGAGACCGAGCCTGTCCGTGTGCCCTGAGCCCTGGGGACCTGGGGCTGTGCTGGGTACCGTGCTCTCTGTGGCCTGCGGGGATGTGTGCTTGGGGCCAGTCGGAGGGGCAGCTGGTTTGGGGGGCCCATACCCAGACTCAGGGGGTGGTACTTCCGAGTGTACTCGTGCAGAGCCCGCAGGACCGTGTCCTCGGAGCAGATGGGCTTCAGTTTGGGGGCAGCGTCCACTGAACGGTGAAGCTCCTCCTGCCGGTCTACGTATCGCTGCCTTTGCTCCTGGAAGTTTTCCAGGCAGTGGTCCATGTGGTCCTCGCCAGAGGTCCCCTGGCAGCTGAGGTAGGGCACGAAGCCTGCAAGAGCCGGGCAGAGGGCAGCCTTGAGCCAGGCCATCAGCAGGGATTGCAGAACCTGCCCATCGCCCCAGCTCAGCCCACCGCTGGGCAGGTCCCCGCCTACAGCGCTGCGTTTTCCCAAAGGCCATTAATACAAGCAGTGCTCTTGTTTCCACTGAGATGGGCCCTCCCAAGGCCACCCAAAATGACCTTGGAGCTGGGAAGTGAAGGCCCAGTTCAACAAAGGCGATGACAGTCATATTCTTTTATAGCAAAGCCCCTGACGTCTGCCAGAAGGCAAATGCGGAAAGCATTTAATGGTCCAAATGATAGTCTGAGGAGTAATTGAAATTATTCCTCTTTTTAGAGAGAAAGCTTATTTCCTTGACACTTCCCAAATGCAATTTGGGATCTTTCTTGCTGGACCATGGGGAAATTGCAGGCTTATTAAAAGCATAGACCTATTATACAAAAAGGTAAACTCATTATCTGCAAGACCCACCCCAAGAACAGTTTTTCACCGTTACCCACAAAATAACATATAATCATTACAATGAGTATGGGTAAAACATGAGTATTTATTTAAACTGGATGCTGAATCCTAAGTACTATAATATTGTCACAATAAAACCATTTTAAAAGAACAAATGAGAAAAACTGGTTAAGAACTTGGTTTTAAACCACAAAGTAAATAAATAAATACCTCTCAGTATTAGAGCCCAATGTTTTTGCCTTTGTCCCTAAGGAAAGAAATCCTAGCAGTGGGGTTGAAAGCAGCCCCTTCCCAACCCTTTCCCCCTACTACAAACCACCTCCAGAAGAATCTCATTAATTGACCTTGATAATGAGGAAGTCCTTCACCCACCAACCCTCAGGCAATGAAAAGTACTCCAAGGTCACAGTGAAGATCACAGAAGTCCAGGAGCCTAGCCTTGGTGGCTTGCTACCTCAGGGACTACTTGGATCTGCATAGATTTTACGTGTGTTCACATGCATATGCACACCCCCCCCCAACACACACACACAGAGGAATATAAGCTATTTTTATTGAGTCTAGCTAAGAACTCAGGTATTTAAAAGAGCAAATGTCACAACAATCATAGGGTGGTCTCTGCAGTGGTGTGCACTGGACCCCCAAATAGACACATCCAAGTCCTAACCTCTGTGAGCCTCACCTTCCTGGGACATAGGGTCTTTGCAGATGCAATTAGGGATCCAGAAATGAGATCATCATAGATTTAGGATGGACTGTAAATCCAATGACTGGCATATTATAAGTGAAAGGAGGGGATACAGGAGACACTAACTTAGAGGCAGAGGAAAGGCCACATGAAGAGTCCCATGAAAATGGAGGCAGAGATCGGAGAGATGCTGCCACAAGCCAGGGGACGTCTGTGGCCTCCGGAAGCTGGAAGGGGCAAAGGAAGGACCCGCCCCTAGAGAGAGACATGGCCCTGCCCAAAACACCTTGATTTCAGATTTCTAGCCCAAAGGACCAGGAGAGAATAAGCTGCTGTTGTTTTAAACCATCCAGTTTATGGTAATTTGTTGAAGAAGCCCTAAGAAACGAAGACATCTATTTTACTTGAATTTTTTTCTTGCTTGGAAGCTGAGTCATTACAGTCACATGGATGGTGTCAAGCAGAGACTTGAACATCTCTCAGTTTGTCAGCCCCAAAGGCTGGGCAACTGTGGACTGAATGTTCCCCAAGCACCCCTTCCTCCTGAGAACAGCTCTGTGTAAAGGCTGAGGGCCCATGGGGACCACTGGGTTCGTCACCCATGGGGATGTGACAGATTAAGTTCTCAGGAGCCCAGGAGCCTGAGGAGTAAAAGCCTTTGGGAAGGGTGACCAACTGTCCTAGTTTTCCAAGGACTAAGGGATTCCTGGACACAGGACTAGCACTACCATGATTCCAAGAAAATCAGGGCAGTTGACCGCTTCCGTTTGGGGGACACAGGGGGACATGGAAGGATGAAAGCCCTTGTGGGAGACTAGAAAGACCAGTGTGGGGAGGGTCAGGGCCCCCACTAATGTGTTGTGTCTATCCTCACGGCATCCTGTCCATCCTGGTCTAAATTTGTTCAATGGACACGAAGTGCTTCCCATACGAGTCATGTCCCACAGGGTGCAGCCTAAGTTCTCTCTCTCCATCCATCAGAGCCATCTGTCAGCCATCTGCAGCCCTGGGCACTCTCAATGGGTCCTACAACCTGGAGCCAGTTTGTCTGAGAGGCATGGACAGAGGGCCGAGGCAAGCACAAGGACCAGTGCCACAGTTCCCCTGAGTGCTGTCACTTACCACTGTAGCCTGGTGTGACCGGAGGACGTCTAATGAAGGTCTTGGAAGTCTCCATGATTTCGCTGTCTGTTCATGAAGGGAAGAAGGAATAAATTGGTCTCCTTAAGTCTCTGCCTCAAGTACTTACTGTGCCTGTGCCAGAGCCCTTGGGAGCAAAGAATGGCTTTGCCAGGGGCTGGGACTCAGAGGCGGCACCGGCATCTTACTCCAAGCTGGCAGACAGAGCTGGCTTCAGCTACCAACGACGACCTGGTTCCAAGGGGCATCGCTTGTCATGCTACCTTTAGATAACCTTGCAGATCACAAGTGTCTCCCTTCCCAAGGAGGCCCCCCCCCACCGTCCACCCAACCGTCATGAATGGTACACACACTGTGGTCATGAAACGTGACAGAGGTGGGGAATGTAAAGATGAACAGGACCCAGGAGCCCTCACATAGGGCTCATGAACCTCGGGGGAGGAAAGAGACGAGGCCCCCACCCTCCAGAGCTAGTTCTTTATGGAGATGGAATGTGGGTGCGGTGGTAATGTCTGCCACCACCCCCTTCAGCTCCACACCATTTGGCAATGTCTGGAGACATTTTTGTTGCCACGGCTTGGGAGATGGGACGCTCCTCATATCTAGTGGCCAGGACGCTGCCAAACATCCTTCAAGAAACAAGAAAGCTCCCTGCAACAAAGAATCGCTCGTCACTTCTGGCTCATAGAGATCAGAAAGTCCCAAAAGGCTGGCATGGAGTCCAAGGGGAATACAGGGTGGCGGGGGATGGTGGCAGTACCAGTTTATGTGCCTGTTGTCTGTGAATCAAGATTTCTTCCCCGCTCCAGGTCGCCAGTGGTTTCCCCAAAAGGCCCAAGGTCTGCATCTCCACGCTGTGGATGCTGCCGTGCCCTGTTCTGCCCACAGGTTCATCTCTAAAGCAATGCCCTTGAGGTCAGGAGAAGGGGCTTTCAGGTGGAGGGGGGCCATGGTCCTGGGTTCCTCAGCGGTGATGGGAGAGGCATAGCAACCCAGCCCCAGCAGGTTGACAGCAGTGAAGACCCAGCCGACCCAATTGCGGCAGTCTATGCCTGGGAGGAGGGACTGGCCGTGCATCGATGCCCAGTACACACTGTCCACCTGCTACCAAAATTTTTCTCCAAGCTTTACATGTGCTGACTCACCAAATCCTCTCCTCAGCCCTGTGACACACATGTGGCACCACTATTCCACCCATTTCCAGTCGAGGATGGAAAAGGCACGCCCATTTCCAGAACACTGGCTCTGCAGACAAGGTGGAAGGGAATCCCTGCAGTGTCCCTCAGGGTAACACCTATTGGGGTTCCCATGTGAAAGATGATTTTCAAAAGGCACAGAGAGATCAAGTAACATGTCCTAGGACTCTGGAGTGAAAGCAGACATGAAGGATGAACTCCAAACTCTCAGGGGCAAGACGGGTTGTCCAAAAGTGTGGTGCTTGGATAGGGCCCAGCATCCAGCCTGCCTGAAGGAGGTGGGCAGTGAGGAGCTTGGAGAGGAGGGGCCCTGAATGAGGGCCAGAGGAGGGGGCTGGAATGGACCACATGAACACCAACCCTTCCCTGCCACCTCCTTCCCACCCCAACCCCTGCTCTCACCTGGGTGGACTTGGACCTGGGCCATGCACTGGGCCAGGCCTCGGTTGTCCTGGGCCTTGGGCCATCCAGGCCTCTGCCTCATCCTCCAGGCCTCCCGTCCCATCTCCTGGGCTTCCACTGAGGACTCCTGGTCTCCACCAGCCTCTGATCTCCAAGCCTCCCACGGCCTTTGTGAGCTCACACCTGGGCGGGGCAGGGGGGGTGGAGCCTCAGGCCCCAGAGCCTGCCCCTACCCCCCTACCCTGGGGATCCACCTCCTCATCCCCCTCCTCATCCCCCTCCTCATCCCCCAGCACCAGAGATGAGGTGGGCCCAGTGAACTTGGGGGCACCCATGAACACCCGTTTAGTCCAGCCTTGAGTATGAAACAGACCTTCACCCAACAGATACCTGCCCTTGGAGCCCTGCACAGAGCCTGGTCCCCCATGGGAGGGTACCGCTCGGGGGTCAGAGCCGCCATTCTGCTGGTGTAGAGACAGTGGGAAGTGGGCGGAGGAATGGGCCCCCTTCACTTGTGGGTAAGGGCCAGTCGTGGCTGTGTGAGGAACCTGTGGGCAGGAGAAAGCCTGAGGAGGAGGCGAGGCCTTGTGTCCCCAGTGGCCTAGTAACGGGTGCCTGGCTGGGCCCAGCACAGCCCTGACCCCTTTCTGTCTCTAGGAGGGGCTGGACTTTTCAGGCGCCCGGTGCAAACAAAGGAGCAATTTACCAAAATGAAGGCATGCCTGGGAAGTCGAGTCACCCCTTTCTAGCCACAATTTATGGGGGTGAAGAGAACTGGAACCTGCATCTCATTGGATTGAAATCCACCAAGATGCTGCCCAATGACCCAGACAGGGAAAGGATGGCCGAAGCCCCACTGCCTAGTGGCACTGCTGCTCTCCCAGTACCTGTCTGAAGTTGGTTCGGGGACACCTCCCAGCCTTCTCCACCCCACTCTCTTGGAAAGTGAACTTCAGGTGGAGCCAACCACCAATTTTATCCTTCCTGTGGTCCTAGGACCCCCACCTCTAGCCCTCTAGAAGTTTCTAGAGGCAACTCAGAGTGATCCAAGTGTGGATTCTGGAGGCATCCCAAGGCTCTAGTTGAAGCCAGTTTCACCTGCTAGGATGCCAGTGAGCACGACACTGTCCCAGGCCTTCTGTGTTCTTTAGTGACTTTCATTTGGGTGCAGTGGAGTTGCCCGTGGCCACTCTGCATATGGGCCTACTTGCTGGCTAGACTACTTTCTTCCTGTTTGGAAGAAAACAGGGTTCTGTGGACATGAATGGAGCCTTGGTTCCCAGGAAAGGAAGGGCCAGTCATGTTGGAATGACTGTTAATAAAGCTTATTGCCCTCTAGGAAAGACCCGGAAATCATCCTGGAGATGGGGTAGATAGGGCATCAGTAATGACCCATCTAGAATTCCACATACAAAAACAAAGTGGGGGTAAAAAAAATCCTGGGCCATATGAGATCCAGAGTTTTACTTTATTAGACATCAGTGAAGATAAGAGAGTTTGCAGACACAGTCCTGTCCAGTTGTGAACTGCTGCGACATTCTGTGAAGTTTGGATCTATCTTGTAGTGAACAAGACCCTGAATGGCTGAGATTGTAGAACAGTGTTCCATAATTCAAGCAGATGAGAGGTGTTAGTGACAGGATGGCCAACGACTTTTATACTAGTCATCCACTTAAGTCATTTCCCAGCATCTGTAGGCAGCTTACTCACGGCAATTACATCTCTACAATGTGAAGTTTGATCTTGGACTAATAATGCATTTGACTCCTGTTTATATTGGTGCATGAGATTCTTTGCTACCCTGGCAATTAACCAGACCTGGACTCTAAAAGCTAAACTTGGTCTAAATAACATTCTAAGGGTGGGGCAGGCTCTGTAATCTGGACTCAGCCAACACTCTGCAAATACACTCTTGTGATTCCTCCTCTTTCCTATCATGTCTGTAAGTTGCCTGTCATTCATTAATGCCTCCTGCATACAGAAAAGGCAGTGACAAAGGACATCAACAACTCTGCTTCCAAGAAAGGTGACTATCAAATAATATGCCAGGAGCAACTGAGTAATGGGTCAGGACCACAGGCCTTCTAGAAACCTTCTAAGATTAGGAAATGTGTCCAAGTGTACTTATCCAGTGCTCTTACTCTAAAATATTTCAATAGGGGAAAGGGATGGATTTGGGAGTCTTGTCTAAGGAGTTGGATTACTAGGGCTGCATCTCTGGGGCCAGAAGAAAGTCCAGCAAAATTACCACCCCTTCTCTATCATCAATTTGCCAACACCGTAGATTTCTATCAGTTCATCGAAGAGAACTAGTAGACAAGGAGACATCCTTAATTCAAGGCAGGAAGAGCTTTGCGTTAGCAGCAAACAAGGGACTTGCCTCATCCTTACCCAACAGAAAAGCTCGGTTTATGTACCACTTGATTCCTGCCTTTGACCCTGGTGTACTGAAAACATCCACACATGGACCACACTTTGTCCTCAGAGTCACTACTTTGCCCCACAAGTACAGGTTGACAACCCAACAGAATGCAAAGAGTTTTCATAGGTTTTTCTGCACAGTCATGTTTGGTTACCAAACCAGAATGTTCAGCTCTCAAAGTCTGGACAGGAGAATTGATACATTACGCTCCCTTAAATATAGCTCCTGAATCTTTGGAAAGAATGTGCATGTGGAAGTTGGCGAAAACTGAAGAAGCTGTTGATCCAAGTGGTCCAGGTGTTCAGAGTATTAGCTGACCCCAGGGCACCTCTGCCTAATGCTCAGTCTTGCACACATAATCCATCACTTGGTATCGGTGCAAATCAGTGGTTAGTGAGAGCAATTAAGAAATGAAAATATGAAATATTAAGGGCAGTGATATCAACAAAAATCAAAGAACATTTTCCTTTTTTTAAAATAAGAAAAACATATTGTAGAAATAAAGATTCTATACAAGATTTCAACACTGTATGTACATAAAATTATATTACTCATAACTAAATGGAAAAGTCTTATTTGCAGACTGTGGCTGGCAACACCAAAGAGGGACACACAACATTAAGCTTCTGAAGCAGAGCAGGCAGCAGGAGACCCCGAGAAACACACCTTGGTGCCTGGCTATGAAATCCCACCACTCAAGTTAGGGAACTGGCTTTCTCCAGTTCTGTGCCTTAATCATGTTTCACTTTCTAGCAGGGAAATCTGCAGCAGGCGAAGTGAAAAAGAAGATGGGCTAAAAAGAAACCCGAAGTGCTGCTCACAATCTGCATATTGGCCGAGGTGATGGTTTGCGAATCCAACTTGCATTCAAAGCGCATTCCCTCGTTCTCGGTTCGCGATGCATGCCTCCAGTGACTTGAAATCGGAATGACTTCCAGCAGGTGGAAAAGACTGCTTTGACAGACCAGAAGGACTGTGATTCAGATCCTTGAGTCTCTGTCCTCAGTTGGCTCCTGAATGTTGGCGAAAACTGACTTTGGGTGGTGGGGAGGGAAAAATGCAGACCCACTGGCTGCCTTTCAGGACATCTTTTCCCTGCCAGACCACCCAGTGAGAATTTAAAGGGCCATCCTAGGTGACTAACGGAGCCCCAACCCCACTTACCAAGAGGACAAGGCCTGGGGTCCGCCCTCTTCCCTAAGAAAACTCCGAAGGGAAGAACAGAGGGCTCAGGCTGTGGCCTGTGCTTCAGCTTTGACAAAGTTAGGAATTCTCCAATTCCAGCTGAACCCCATTCACTTCTGGTATACACTACAAATGCAGATTCTGGACCCCTTCAAATTAGCTTCTGCTTAAAAGGGATGGGATCCAGGAACCTGCTCTAAGCGAGCACCCAGGCGATTCTGACGCAGGCAAGCCACAGACCTGCTTTAGAGAAGAAGTGGCTTGGTAAGTGGGGGAAATGGAGAATATCAGGCCAAGTGATAGCCAAGCCCAGAAGCTCAAAGGTCAGATGTTTTCTCTCCTATGCAGAAGCCAGAGTGAAATAAAGGAAAGGACAACAGAAGAAACCATCAAGTGCAAATTCATAGGCGAATGAAAGGAAGTTAGTAGAGGAAGGAAATGGGGAGGGGAGGGAGGGAGGATGAGAGGGAAAGGGGGGGATCATGAACCAAAATCAATATCCATGCCTGTATGAGTTTGTCTGGATGGACCCGATGATCATAAAGCTCTAATAAAAAAGAGAGAGAGAGAAAAGAAAACAACTGGCTTAATTCATCAAGTCTAGATCTATACATGAATTTAGATGGATTTGAAAAACTGGAGATTTTCAATGAAGCATCTCATAGAACAGACTCTCCTTTGATATTTCACCAATGTATTCCTTTCCCAAGATGGAAATGAATGGTCAGAACTCTCAGGGGGATGGAGATGAGCAGGAAGAATGGGGGCTCATTTAAAGTTTGGATGCTTTTCAAGGTTTAAGGGCTATTCTGGAGTCGGGGACTAGGAGATGTGAACAAAGCCATGGCAGCCTCATGTTCTCACAGTGAATTCCTCCAAGATTCACTAGAATTACTTTTGAACTCAGAAATCAGGATTTGGCATTCTGTGAGTTAGATCACAACGTTTGTAGTAGTTTTCCCTCATCCACGGTTTCAGTTACCATGGTCAACTGTGGTCCAAAAATATAGTAGAGTACAATGAGATATTTTGAGAGAGACCACATTCATATAAATTGTGTTACAGTTGTTTTGTACGATTTCCTTATTTTGTTATTACTATTATTCTCTTACTGTGTCAAATTTATAAATTGAACTTTATCACAGATATGGAGATATAGGGGAAAAAATAGTGTGTGTATATATAGGGTTTGGTACTATGGGGGGGGGTTCATGTCTCTACTGGGGATCTTGGAATGTATCCCCTACAGATGAGGGATGAATACTGTGATTTGGTGTAAGGCAGCAACTCTTCAATATCTTTTTCCATCAAAGCAAATTTTTACCTGCTGAAAAGCTGAGGTGTTAGCATTCCTACTCCCCAAAATCCTAGTGGGGTAGCCAAGGCTATAGTTATTTTTCCCCAAACCTTCTTGGAATTTAAATTATCTCAGAACCTAAAATAGCGCCCAGTGTAGGCAGTCTTCTCCCACCAGCTGACAATGCTCCAAGTTCCCTCTGAGTCACCGCTGTTCATTCCAGGATGAGAAGAAACTGACTACAGATGGGTGGCATTTTATATTGACTGCTATCCAAAAAGAAAAAGAAAAAAAAAACCTAAAAAGAAAAGATCTCAGACGAAGATTTTCTCCTGACTCAAAGATCTCATTTCAAATCTAAAAAGAAGGCAATAGGGCATTCTAAGTTCTACTTGGCAGAGATCTGTTCAAAGCAAGGCTCCACCACTGCTGCAGACTGTACCGATCCCCTTGTCGGGTGGTTGGTGCACCACTTTGGTACCTGTGAAAACTAGCTGCGCTTCTAGGATCCTTGAATTTCCTGTTCCTAGACCTCAATCGTAATTTCTGACCGCTTTTCTGACTCCAGTGTACCTTCCAAAAATCCCTAGTTATTTCTCACCCTGGTTGTTCTCCTGCTAAAGTTCAGGTGGGCAATGGCAAGGGTCAAGGTCAAGGTCAGGACAGTCAAGGATAAGGTCAGCAGATGCAGATGAGCTGGTCCTAGGGGCAGGCGGCAGGGAAGGATGGTTAGTAATTTAAGAAGTCGATCCCCACTTTGACACTCTTTGAGGTGGCTATGTCAATGGCTGTGGCCTTGATCTCGGTGTCCCCGAACTGCATGAGGGTCTGGATTTCCCTCCTGGCAGGCACTGCTGTGCCGCTGGTCCCTGTGAGATCCAGGCGGAGCGTGCCACACTTCTTCACCCCTGGGTCAGTGATGAAGCTGACGGTGTCATGCTCAGAGCTGTAGATGTTGATGACAATGACCAGCTGGGAGGGCTTGGCCGGGGTATAGCTACGTTTGACCAGCTCTCCCAGGGCCACCGACTGGTCGGCAGAGATGAACTTGTCAAACACGTCGGTGCACCAGCGAGTGCCGTCCTTCACCAGCAGCTTCTCGGGCGGGTGCTTGCCCTCCACGTAGCGGTTCAGCACGCCCACCCCGTAGGTGAGCGGGGACCTGCGCACCTTGATGACGGCGGGGTCCAGGCCGAAGAGGACGGCGCCCTTGAGGATGGTGAGGCCCACGTCCTGGGGGATGATGATCCGGCACTTGTCACCAAAGGCTGCATGCACTGCCTGCTGCAGGAGGGGCGCCTCGGCAAAGCCACCCACCAGGAAGAGGAACTTGACCGTGCAAACCTCCGGCTTCTGAAACAGGTCCCCTGAAAGGGAAGAAGATGTGGGAAGGTCACACCAGCAAAAGCCAGCAGGCAAGGGAGAGGCAGGCTGCTCGTGTCTCTGGGAAGAGACGGAACCACCTGGGCCCCTGGGAGCCTGGCTTGGTCTGAGCCATTGAGTTCTTATCAAGTGGGTCTTTCGTAGAAAAGGAGTTTTCACACCAGTGTGCTCAGCCGTAAAGGCCAGAGCAGCTGCGGAGTAGAAGCCCATTTGAACAGAGAGGTGGTGAACATTTTAAGAGGAACTTTCTATGGAGAAAGGAATCTCTCCAAAATGAATCACTTCCCACGGCCAGGTTCTGGTGGCCCTCTTGGTTCTCACCACAGTTCCTTCTCCTCTAGTAGGTAGGATTCCTAATCTGTCCTGGTCACACAAACAGGAAGCGCCCCCTAGAGTGGCTGTTGGATGACAGGGCTTCAGAGCTCCCAGCTCTCCAACCTCTGGGACCAAACTGAAAGCCCAGGACAGGTTCTCAGCTGCTTTGCAGTAGGAGAGGGATGCACAGCCTGTGTCCAGCAACCTCCCCCAGTTCTGTGGCCCCCAGACCCAGATCCCCTGCCAACCCGACTGCATGGTACTGGTTGGTGATGCTGGACAAGCCCCACAGATACTCACGGAGGTGCTCAATGATGCTGTCTATGGTTGGCTTAAAAAGGGCATTCATGGCATCTGGACTCATCCTCAGCATACCCTGGGAGGACCACTTCACAAAATCCACGCTGTGGGAAGGTGACACAGACGGGAACAAGAGTGAGTGCCTGCAGGTGCCAGGGCTGCTGGGCTCTGGCATGGGCCCTGGCAGAACATCGGTCACATCATGGGGCAGAAATGACTTTCAAAGTCAAAAGCACCCTTGGAAACCCCCTCAACTGCCAGGGCCCGGACCCTCAGAACCTCAAGAACTGACGTAACCTCTTATATTTCTCTTTGCTTCCAACCTTCCCCTGGGATGATGGAGGCCAAAGTCTAGTGCAAGAAGGAAAGAAGTGCTTGCCCTCTGGACGACAGTGTGCTAAGGCCCACGAGATGCCTTCACTGTGCTACATAAGCTACAAGTGTGTGTGCTGAGGCGTATCTCCTCAGCCTCCAGGCAGCTGTCCCATGGCATGGACGTACAACACGTCTAAAAGCAGAAGTGTGGAACAGCAGGAGCTCTGGACGGGAAGCCAGGTGGCTGGGCTCCAGGCTGGCTCCACAGCTTAGTAGCTATGGGACTTGAGGCACTTTGGCCTCTGTTTTCTTTGAGCCTGGTCTTCTCTGATGCCAAGGATAATGGCACTTGCCTCACCCCCTCACAGGGCAGGTTATGAAGATCAAGATTCTCTCCTGTTCAGACTGGGCAACCAAACTACAAAGGGCAGAACTTTGTCCCTGTTGGAGTACTCCAGCTACACTAACTAAAGAGTTGTCGATTCCGATGATAACCCAGTGGTCACCCAGTGAATCAACAGACCCAGGTAATGCTCATCAGTCCCCTGATAGGATGCAATAGGAAATACCACCACCTGCTAAGTAGATTGCCAGAAATCCAAACTTGAATCCAATTAAACCACTAAGTCTATCTGTAAGCAAAAACATACCAGGGGCAGAATGAAAATCTCTGGGACACCAAGTGCATGCAGTGAGCAAAACCCAGATTGTAGGAAACTCTCGAGCCCAATCAACCAGTTTTGTCATCTGATTAAAAAAAAGGGGGGGGACCCATACACCAGGTGAGACTCGAGAGTTCATTAGGATGCTGATGCAAATTGGAAAACCTTTAGGAGACAGTTGGAAAAACTGTTGATGATAACTGGATATTTGATATCGAAGAATTATTAACTTTAGGTGTGATGATGTCATGGTTACAATTCAAAATTCATCTCCTTTAGAACCATCTGTTGACATATTTATGGATTTGATGACAACCTATCTGAGATTTGCTTTAAAATAACAGGGAGAGGGTCGTGAGATGTAGGCTGAGTGGGAGCCAACAATCCTGAAGCTGGGTGATGGAGTTTCATTTCCACATGGGAAGGTATCTATGAGAGGTGATGGATATGTAAATTTCTTTGTAGTAATCATTTCCCTGTGGATATGGAGATATATTTATATATATATATATAAAAAAACTTTAAAGTTATTAAAACCTATGATTTTTGTCTTTTTTTAAAATTCAGCTTAAAACCATCTTCCTAATACATTTATTTTACAACAAATACTTGCTTGTAACCAAGGGTCTCAGAGAAGCAGGAAACCCAGATTCCCATGGGATTTATTCAACAAATATTATATTGAGTCTCTACTATGTACCAGCTTTTCTTCTAGACACTGGGATTTCAACAGTAACCAAAACTACACTTCCCTGTTATCATAAAGCTGATATTCTTTAGAAAACATAATAACTAGCACAAAGGTGACACCTTTCAGGTCTCAAATAATGTGCTTAGTACCTAATGTTTATGAATGGGTTTTATCCTCACAACAACACTAGGAGGTAAGCAGAACTCTTCTCTCCACTTTCCAGATTTAAAAAACAAAAACCCTGAGTAGTAGAGAGGTCAAGTCATTTGCCCAAGACAGCAAATGTGTGGGACTGGAACTCACCACCCTCCCACCTCTGACCAACACAATCCACCCGAGACCGTCCCAAGCCAAGGTAGCCAGCTCACTTGCTCTTCCTCAAGGCGTGTTCCACGCTGTGCCCACGGAACTTCTTGTAGTAGTCGATGAAGGAGAAGGGCAGGGTGATGTTGAGAGGGTTGGTTCTGTCTGGAGCAGCGGCTCTCTTTCGAGACTCAAAGGCAATCATTAAGTCAACCCAGGCTGCAGGACGCTTGATTTTGAACTGTTCGATAAAATCCTCTCCAAATATTTTACACAGAAGTTTCTCAAATTCATAATCTACTCCCAAGGATCCATAGGGTCCACCTGGGTCAGGAATGAAATGGGAGCCCATGATGTCAAAAACCACCAGAAACCAAATCCAAACTCTGAGAAAAAAGCCCACACTGTGTCCTCCTCTGATGCACAAAGAAATGCAAAGTTGGACCCCCTCAGCCAGCGGACTGCAGAACCCTTAGGTTCTCACTCCATATGCAGAGGTTATTTTTTTTCCCACAGAAATCATCAGCAGTCTGTCTAAATCAATTATGTTTCAAATAAGATCAATACATTTAATTAAATAGGAGCAAGAACAAGCTTCAGTTTGGTGCCCTTGGTCCAGATGAGGTGTTGTGAGACCTCGTAGAAAGCTGGCCTTAGCTCTTAAATCATAGGTGACATCAGAACTTTCAGAAACAAGCTCCCTTGGCCAGACTCACCTAATGCTGAAACTCAAGTGGATGTGGTTAGGGCTTAAAAGAACACTTAACTGCATTTTCCTATTGGTGGAGATATGAATGTCCTGCACCCCCTGTGGTCCCACAGGCTGGTGACAGCAAGAGAAAGAAGCACTTTCAGAAAAGAGTCTGAAATGAGTGAATTGGAACTATCTGGGAAGGGCTCATGGGTGAGAAAACCAGCCGTGCTGTGGCTCACCTGTTGCTTTATACAGTTCCTTTAGGTGTCCCTCGGGTAGCCGTATCTGATGGACTGTCAGGTCTACGGTGCCTCCGCCACTGTCCACAACCACATACTTGTCACCTGGTACAGACACAGCCATTATTTACATAGAACCACTTGTCAACCCGTTCTGAAACAAGCTGATGGATGATAACTTGGTCTACCCAGCTAAGCACCACCGGCACTGCTGGCTAGCACATGGTTTTGCTAATCAGCAGCCTAGCAGGTTATTCAGAGGGCCAGCGAAGCATGGATGATGAAGAACCAGAAGAGGGCTCTGGATGACCAAAGCACGCATGTCACACCATGCCACATACCAGGCACATACCATTACCTGCTGTTGAACACCAGACTTACTCCAGGACGAGGGAGTTCTGGTTCCTACCTTTCTTGGGAAGAGTCTGCATGATTTTACAACATGCAAAACTATAGCTCCCAAAAGGGCTCCACCTGGGTGAGTGGCCTTCCAAACCCACTGATTTTGAACATTTTCCCACAGTGCAGAAGGAACAAATGGGAGTGCAAAAACAGCAGCATACACACAAAAAATAATAAATACATAAAATTTAGCAAGGGCAAAGGATGTTAAAGAATACTACCTTCCTCCAGCTCTGACCAGATTTCTCCTATGACATTCTCCACCAAAAAGGTCCGACTCTGACGATTACGCCGTACGTGTTCCTTAGCTAGCAGCCAATAGAAAGAAAAGGACGATGGGTAAGGAAGCATGAAAATGCAGACAGTCATCTGCAGTTGGCAGAGATAACAGCAGGAGGAGGCTCAGGAATGGCACGGCTACTTATAGGTGATCAAAACAATTAATAAACAGCATTCGGAATCACAAAGCCAGTTCTTCCAAGAGAAGGTGGATCTTCACACCAGCCTTCATCTCTTCATCTCCTGGCCAGCTTTGGCCTGTGCCTGGCTGAAAGCTCACCCTGATGACTTTCCCTTCCTCTGGTGACATTTTTGGGGGAATGGGTTAATAAAATCAATGTCCCAGCTTTACTGCCCCAAGGAGGAAGCCCTGGAAATCAGGCTGCAGTGAGCCCAGTTAAACAACTTCACATCAAGGAACTTTGTCCAATTCAAAGGAAAGTGGAGTATGCCATCTGGATCTCAGGTAAATGGATTGAGCCCTTTCCTGACACTGTTGAAGCCAGTGTGCTCTTCAGCCACAAGGTGGCGCTTCAGCCACAAGGTGGCATCTGAACTCTGCCTGTCCTGGCACTTGCTCACCAATCCTGGGGACAACCTCTGCTTGTGTCCACAGGCCCTGCTGTGGCTTGGGCTGCTGGGACATGAGAAGGATAGGGTACAAACCACCGTCCTCTGTTCAGATGAGGAAACCAGGTCAGGCGAGATGAAGGACTTGCAACTCTTGTCTTGCAGCTCAAAATGAACCCACAGACCCTGTCACACTCATGATTTACAGGGACGTTTGATAAAGTAGAACAATGAGATGTTAGAAATGAGAAAGACACTGTGAAAGGACACAGCCAAGGTGGGAGTTGGGGATAATCACTTAACTCCTCTAAGCTTCATTTCCTCATCCATAAAGTGGGAATGTTGATAGTTGGCCTCAGTTCCTTTTTGGCATATAGTAGGTGATATTGAAGGCAAAGCACCTACTATGAAACCTGGTGCTCATCAAATGACAACTACCATGATTGAGTTAGACCAGGAAGAAGGCTCTGCCACCCATCCCCACCACCATGTTGTTGTTGGGATTTTTTTAGTTCCTGAGCTGGTGCTGCTGACTTTGGATTGCCCTTGGTTGCTGGTTACCCAATACAGCACCCTTGGCCCGCAATCCTCTTTCTGCAAGGAGCACAGTGTTTGCAAAACAGTTTCTCTGGGGATCAGAACTTCAGATGCCCCGTCAGCTTGGCTGACTCCAAGTGCTCAAGGCCTAGGTTGGATTGGAGTGGGAAGTTTCCCAGGAGGGCTCCCAAACTCAGGGCTTCTTTCCTGTTTCCTTGGGATGAACCTCTGTTACAGACCTTGCGGTGGGCATCTGCTGTTTGAGACAGTCTAGATGACACATATGAGGGCCTTCATGAAAACAGCCAAGTGAGGCGAACAGAACACGTACTGAGCTCTCAAAAAATTATCCTATTTCTTTCAGGCAGATTAAGCCCACTATTGTGTGTGTGGGGGGGGGGGGAGACAACGGTGTCCTTTATTGATCTCATCCTTACAATAAAATAGCACCAATGGCAAACCTTGCATTCAGGGAGCTGCATGCCAGCTCTACTCCTCGGGGCCTAACTGGACCCCCTTCATAAGGGAGCCTCCTAGCACCTCGGGCATCCTGAATAAGTGCTCTGCTGCAGCACCCCCTCCTTCTGGGAGAGGCTTCCCAGTTGTAAAGCAAGGCTGACACCAGATCCCCTGCCTTAGGGCCCCTCGGAAATGTGGTGTCCAATAATTTGAGGATTTCAAAATCTAGAAAGCCCTCTGAGCACACAGAGACAGCAGCACATTCCACGAGCCACAGGACACAGACACAGAGCCCTGTGGGGGAGATGTGATTTGTTAAAGAAGAAGAAACACAAAACTGAGCTCTTGGGGAATGCCATGATCAGAAATCAGATTCTCCCCAAAATGTGTCCTGTTCACAGGGGACATAAGGAGAGCTATGCCAGAATTAGCTGATCCTGGCATGAATTTCTTTTCATGAACAACTGAGAATTTACATGTAAGATATAAGCTCAGTCTTTCCCCCTTTTTCCAATGAAAACAATAAAGAAGGAAACCTAAACATGTACATGTTGTCCCAAGTATGTCAGTGCTACCGTGTTTGACCTAGTGAGCTGTAAGGCCAGCCTCGACTTCCCCTGGGGAGCTACAGCATGACTAGGGGGTAATCCAGGCCTAGGATTTAAAGGGAAGCCTGTTTCATTATTTCTGGGGAAATCAGCTCTAAGGCACTATCACACAGCCCTAGCAGGCTGTGGCAGCAGCCTGGTGACAAACAAGCCTACTACTACCTCCTGGCTGAGGTTTATAGACTCCTAACTCCAGGGATTCAAATGCAAAGAGGAGACCCCCCAGGGAAGTTGCCCCTGTGAAGAGGAAGAGGAGCAGCTTGGAAAAGACCCCCATATGCAGGGGCAGGAATGTGTATCTTCTCAGAGTCAGCAGAGGCCAGGGCCTTGGGACACTGACGCAGGCTTCCTGGTCCTCATCTGGGAATAAAGCAGAGCCTACAACTATGGAGCCAGGACCCACTGGCACCCATGCTCATGGGGTGCTTTGTCCCTGACCCAGTCTGTCTGCAAACGCTGAAGCCCTAAGAGGCCCACAGAGCCCTGGACACCAGGGAAAACAGTTCTGGGGACCAAGATTGTGACCCACTTGCATGCAGGTAACTAGTTGAAAAATAACTATTAAAAAGGAAACTTCCTCCAAATACTCACCCTGAGCCTCCCCTAGTGGGTGCTCTTCCCACAGCTAAGTGAGCCTCCCCTGGCCAGGAGGTCAGCCCATTCCATCTGTACTCTAACCTCCGCTAAGACACACAATGAGCTCATCACCCAGAAAGCAGCCCCACTGAGTGAGTCAGAAATAAATGGACAGTCTTAACGGAGGGAATAATAACAGGAAACTGGGATTAGAGGGAGAATCAGCTAGTAGGCAAGAAAGATCCAGGGCTAGAAAGCTGAGGCTTGCGAGTGTAGCTCAGTGGTAGAGAGTTTGCCTAGAGAGCATGAGGCCCGGGTTTGATGAACAACTCTCTGGTACCTTCATGTTCTTGACGAAGCCCCTCCAGGCACTTATGGGTGATATGCCAGGTGACCATTGCTTAGTCCTCCAAGAGGCCAGGAAGGGAGGCTGACACTGAGAGGCTTAAAGCCAGCCTCCTCCTAAGGTATCTTGATCCTTCCTGATGGCATTAAATGCCTCTAACATCATCAGAGGTAGAGAAACACCCAGGGCGGGGGGAGGGAGGGAGAGAGAGAGCAGAGGTACCCTGTGCAAACCCCGCTCCTACTGTGTCACTGGCGCTGTACCCATTGACCGCCGCCTTGCCGCTCAGCTCAATCATCTGGTGCAGACGCAGCTTCCGGCAGTAGATGGAGGCGGCCTCAGGCTCCAAGGCAATGATGAGCTGCTCCGAGTTCTCAGGAGAGGCCAGGCCTGCCTGCAAGACAGAAGCTGAGGCTGGGACCGGGGCTCCCTGGGCAGGCTGGCTCAGAGATACCATGCGGCCCACAGGAGGGACAGAGCACACAGGGTTCCTGTCACCACTGTGCTGCTTTGTGGCTGTCTCCTTGGTCTGACACTCCCAAGGAAGGGACACTCACGCTCTGCATGTTTGGGACAGTCCCACGCCGACTTTGGCATACTGAGCCCCAAACACTTCAGGGTGGCTAAAGAAATTGTACAAGCACCCTCAAGAAACACAAGGCTCTGGCCACAGGACCTCTTGCACTTGGGCCTTGATTGGCCCAGAATTGAGAAGTACCAGGGAGGAGGCGGGGTGACTCTGGGCTGTAGGGTGCAGATGGGGCTCTACACCAAGTGGGAAGGACAGAGTTACAAAAGTCTCCAAACTTTGAAAATCATCCCAGGTCAGAGGCAGGTGATCTGTTCCCTGGTGACAGTGGGCGATACAGCAGACCCCACCTTGTAGACCTCAGCTAGGCGAGCATCTGACTTGCACAGGATCTGATCTGCTCTCTGTGGAGCACTGGGAGGCCCTGCCATTTGCCTCCTTGGGGGAAATGTATAAGCAGTCACTCCTGGATGAGGAAGCCCCTCCTGGAACCCCAAGGAATCCCTCATTTTCTAAATATGGGCAGTCATCGGCAAGTATCTTATCAAAGCCTTTATCCTTTTCCTAGTGTATATTACATATACATATCAAATATAGTCGTAAACAAGTTCTCATCTGTGGTCTCCATCTGCATTTGGGATCCTAGCCTCCAGGAGGCAGAAATGCTTCAGTTCTGTGACACGTGACCTGTCCCAGTCAAGCCCCTTCCAGGCCCTAAGAAGGGCCATCCATGAAGCCCCAGGACCACCTTCCTGAAGGTGCTCAGAGAAACGGGCCTGGCCTGTAACCAGATCCCTGCCACCTCCTACGGCCCTGAGCTGGAGCAGGAGGTCCACAGTGGAGGCCGCTCAGGCGCACGGGGTTTCCTTGGCTGCCAACAGGAGAGACAGAGCACACATGGTTCTCATTACCACTGTGCTGCTTTGTTGACGTTTCCCAGGACACCTGCCCTCCTGCCATATCCACTTGGGAGGAAGCCCCTTCCTGCAACCCTCTTCTACACCAGACCCTCAAGGTTTAGTGGATTCTTCCCATGGACCAGGCATGGAAGTTTTCCTAATGTCGTGCCTGCACGAAAACCTCTCCTCAGGAGGAGTGGCCTAGAGCCATGGTTGGAGGGGCTGAGGAGGGTCCATCAAGAGCAAGGAACAAGCAGATTCAGGTAGAACATCAGAAATGTGACAGGCCTTCGGAGACTTTGTCCACCTCCTCCACTTAATGTACAAAGACCAAGGCCCAGAGCAGTAGGGGCACCAGCTGTCCCAGAGTGCCCAGAACAAGGGGATTTCCTAGGACATGAGACTTTCAGTGTTAAAGCAGCACAGTCCTGCTGGAAGGTGTCCAACCCTTAAATGGTGGCACCAGCGCAGGCTGGGGTCTGGAGCAATATTAATCAGCATTTTGTTGTGATAAAAAAATAAACAAGAACAACTTAAAGGAGGAAAGATTTATCTTGGTTCCAGAGGTTTTCGTCCATGGTCAGCCAGCTCTGTGGCACTGCGTCTGAGGTGGGGATGAACAGTCTGGCAGAAGGGTGTGGTGGAGGGAAGCTGTTAGCTCATGGCAGCAGCCCAGCAGCAGAGGTGGGAAGACGAGGCCAGGGACATGATATAGTCTTCAAGGACACCCTCCAGTGACCCATGCTTCTCCTGCCTACAGTTTCCACCAGCACCCAGTAGTCCACTCAAATTATTAGTCCACCAAATGAGGTCATCATCCAATCACTTCCCAGAATCCCCACCTCTGGACATCGCCGTCCTGGGGACCCAGGATTCAACACCTGAGCTTTGGGGCATTCCAGACCCAACCCATAACATGAGACCTGCAGATGAGGCTCTTTAAATTGCTACTGGCTCTCCTGCTCTTAGTGCCTCTAGTTACAGATCCCCAGCCAGCCCTGGGACGTGACAAAACTCTCCCGTGCCTCTCACACTCCCTCCTCGACGTTTCTGAGGCACCGTGTTTCACCAATGACTCTGGGACAGTATCAGATGACTCACTGCCTGAATGGGCTGTCAGAAGTTCTCCATGACAACCACACCCACAAGGAAATATCGGCGATGGTGTCCTACCGCATGTTGGTGACAGAAAATCACTCCGTAAATATCAAATGTCTCACAAGTGGCAGAGCCCCTTCTGGAAGATAGGCTTTATAAAACCAGATGGGAGCCACACCTAAGTCCTACACCATCCACAGGGAGCCTCCACCCCTGCTGCTCAGGACCCGCATAGGCAGACGGAGGCCCATCAGCCTGGTCCAGTGATAGAAGAGGCCAGGGCCACCCT